AGCATCTGAAACTGAGAGATGGTACCCATCCTTCTAATTCATGCTGAGCCTAGTGGAGTGTATGTGGGAGAGGCTGGATGGTGTTCCCAGACTGTCCCCTGAAACTGATTTCCCTGGGCGCCTTCCTTGGAGGGGACTGTAGGGACCCACATTCAGAAAATGCTGCTTAGTTTGGCATTTAAATCCAACAGGCCAGAAATAACACTCTTAACTGCTTAAAAGTGTCCTGCTTCCCTCCTCCAGGCAAAAGGGGTCTTTAAAGAATGAGGAACTCGGGAAGCCCAGTTCCTCAATGAATGAATAGTTTTTGCTCTGCTTTGTGGGGGACTTTCCTGGTTCCTTAGATGGTAAAGAATCCATCTGCAATGTCCCTAAAATGTTTTTAATTGAAGGATAATTGCTTTACAATATTGTGTTGTTATTTTCTGCTATATTTCAACATGAGTCAGCTGTAGGCATACCTATGTTCCCTCCCTCTTGAACGTCCTTCTCACCTCCCATCCCGTCCTACCCTCTAGGGTGTCACAGAGAACGGGTTTGAGCTCCTTGAGTCGGACAGCAAATTCCCACTGGCTCTCTGTTTTACATGTGGTAGTTTATATGTTTCCGTGCTGTTCTCTCCGTTCATCCCACCTTCTCCTTCCCCCCAGTCCCATGTCCACAGGTCTGTCCTCTGTGTCTGTGTATCCATTGCTTTCTGCAGGTAGGTTCATCAACACCATTTTTCTGTGTTCTGTGTTGTTATTGTTCAGTCTCTCAGTCATGTACAGTTCTTTGTGACACCATGGACTGCAGCACGCCAGGCTTCCCTGTCCTTCACCATCTCCCAGTTCATTTCAATTTAGTTCAGTTGCTCAGTTGTGCCCGACTCTTTGTCATCCAATGGACTGCAACATGCCAGGCCTCCCTGACCATCACCAACTCCCGGTTTGCTCAAACTCAAGTCCTTTGAGTTGGTGATGCTATCCAACCATCTCATCCTCTGTTGAACCCTTTTCCTCCCACCTTCAATCTTTCTCAGCATCAGGGTCTTTTCCAATGAGTTAGTTCTTTGCGTCAGGTGGCCAAAGTATTGGAGTTTCAGCTTCAGCATCAGTCCTTCCAATGAATATTCAGAACTGATTTCCTTTAGGATTGAGTGGTTTGATCTCCTTGCAGTCCAGGGGACTCTCAAGAGTCTTCTCCAACACCAGATAGAAAGCATCAGTTCTTTGGCACTCAATCTTGTTTTTGGTCCAACTCTCATATCCGTACATTTGTACTGGGAAGACCACAGCTTTGAATCTTTGTCGGCAACCTGACGTCTCTGCTTTTAATATGCTGTCTATGTTTGTCTTAGCTTTCCTTTCAAGGAGCAAACATTTTTTAATTTCATGGCTGCATTTACCTGTTCTCAGTGATTTTGGAGTCCAAGAAAACAAAATCTGTCACTGTTTCCATTTTTCCCCCTCTGTTTACCATGAAATTATGGAACCAGTTGCCATGGTCTTAGTTTTTTGAATGTTGAGTTTTAAGCCAGCTTTTTTACTCTCCTCTTTGACCCTCATCAAGAGACTGTTTAGTTCTTCTCTCTCTGCCATTAGAGTGGTATCATCTGCGTATCTGAGGTTGTTGATATTTCTCCCTGCAATCTTGATTCCAGCTTGTGCTTCATCCAGCCTGGCATTTCGCATGATATACTCTGCATATAAGTTAAATAAGCGGGGTGACACTGTACACCCTTGACATACTCCTTTCCCAGTTTGGAACCAGTCCATTGTTCCATGTCTGGTTCTAACTGTTGCTTCTTGACCTGTGTGTAGGTTTCTCAGGAGATAGGTAAAGTGGTCTGGTATCCCAATCTTTAAGAATTTTCCACAGTTGGTTGTGATCCACACAATCAAAGGGTTTAGTGTAGTCAATGAAGCAGAAGTAGATATTTTTTTGGAATTCTCTTGATTTTCTGTGATTCAACGGATGTTGGCAATTTCATCTCTGACTCCTCTGCCTCTTCTAAATCCAGCTGTTATGTCTGGAAGTCCTCAGTTCACGTACTGTTGAAGTCTACCTTGAAGGATTTTGAGCATTACTTTGCTAGCGTGTGAAATGAGTGCAGTTGTGCAGTAGTTTGAACTTTCTTTGGCCTTGCCTTTCTTTGGGATTGTAATGAGAACTGACCTTTTCCAGTCCTGTGGCCACGGCTGAGTTTTCCAAATTTTCTGGCCTATTGAGTGCCCCACTTTCACGGCATCATCTTCTAGGATTTGCGATAGCTCAGCTGTAATTCCATCACCTCCACTCGCTTTGTAGTGATGCTTCCTAAGGCCACTTGACTTTGTACTCCAAGATGCCAGGCTCTAGGTGAGTGGTCACACCTTGTGGTTATCTGGGTCATTAAGATCTTTTTTGTAATGTTCTTCTGTGTATTCTTGCCACCACTTCTTAATATCTTCTGCTTCTGTTAGGTCTGTACCATTTCTGTCCTTTACTGTGCCCATCTTTGCTCAAAATGTTCCCTTGGTATCTCTGATTTTCTTGAAGAGATCTCTAGTCTTTCCCATTCTATTGTTCTCCTCTATTTCTTTGCATTGTTCACTTAGGAAGGCTTTCTTATCTCTCCTTGCTATTCTTTGGAACTCTGCATTCAAATGGGAATATCTTTCCTTTTCTCCTTTGCCTTTTGCTTCCCTATGTATTTGCTAATATACAGTATTTGTTTTTCTCTTCTTGACTTATTTCATTGTATGTAATAGGTTCTTTATTCATCTACTTCATTAGAATTGACTGAAATGTCTTCCTTTTTATGACTGAGTAGTATTCCATTGTATATATGTAAAAGCTTCTTTATCCATTCATCTGTTGATGAACATCTAGGTTGCTTCCATGTCCCAGCTATTGCAAATAGTGCTGTATTGAACACTAGGTTACCTATATCCTTTTCAATTATGGTTTTCCCAGGGTATGTTCCCAGTAGTGGAACAGTTGGATCATATGATAGTTTTATTCCTAGTTTTCTTAAGGAATCTCCATACTCTTCTCCATAATGTCTGTATCAATTTACATTCCTACCAACCATGCAAAAGGAGTTCCCTTTCTACACACTCTCTCAAGCATTTATTATTTGTTGATTTTTTTCCTGATGGCCATTCTGATCAGTGTGAGGTGATATGTCCTTGTAGTTTTGATTTGGATTTCTCTAATAAAGTACAATTTGAGCTACTTTTCATATATTTATTAGCCATCTGTATGTCTTCTTTGAAGAAATGTCTGTTTAGGTCTTCTGCCCACTTTCCACTTTTTAATTGGGTTGTATGTTTTTCTATTATTGAGTTGCATGAACTGCTTGTATATTTTGGATATTAGTCCTCTGTCAGTTGTTTCATTTGCTATTCTCCCATTCTATGGGTTGTCTTTTCACTTTGTTTATAGTTTCCTTTGTTGTGCAAAAGTTTTTAAGTTTAATTAGATCCCACTTGTTTGTTTTTATTTCCATTACTCCAGGAAGTGGGTCATAGAGGATCTTGCTGTGATTTATGTCATAGAGTGTTTTGCCTCTGTTTTCCTCTAAGAGTTTTATAGTTTCTGGTCTTACATTTAGGTCTTTAATCCAGTTTGAGTTTATCTTCATGTGTGGTGTCAGAAAGTGTTCTAATTTCATTCTTTCAAATGTAGCTGTCCAGTTTTGCAGCACCTCTTATTGAAGAGACAGTCTTTTCTCCATTGCATGTTCTTGCCTCCTTTGATGAAAGAAAGATGACATAACAGGTGGAGAGTAATTTCATGTTACTGGGTTGGCAGAATCAATGGTGTCAAAGATCAATATACTATCAAAAGCAGTCTACAGAGTCAGTGCAATCCTTATCAATTTACCAATGGCATTTTTCACAGAAGTAGAACTAAAAATTTCACAATTCATATTGAAACCCAAGAGACCCTAAATAGCCAAAGCAATCTTGAGAAAAGGAACAGAGCTGGAGGAATCGTTCTTCCTGATTTCATCCTGTAATACAGAGCTCTAGTCATCAAGACAGTGTGGTACTGACCCAAAACACAAATGCAGACCAATGGAATGAGATCGGAAGCCCAGAGATAAACCCATGCACCTACGGGCACCTTATCTCTGACAAAGGAAGCAAGAATACAAAGCTAGGACATTTTTAGAACAAACAGGAACCTAAGAGTGCATTTCAGTAGCCATTAGAGCAATGACAATATCACAGGTTACGTTATATAAACTTTGGTAAACTCCGGTGTAAACTCATGCGCAGATGAGAGTGAAAAGAGAATAATGCCTTCATGTTACTATGAACGTAATTTTGTCTTCACGGGTCCCTGTATCACTTTTGAGAATTACTTGTTGAAAAAATAATGACCTGATAAAATCTTACTATAAAATGCCAGATGAAAATAGTACAATACAATCAGCATACTATATCAGTCCCAGTTTTTTTTTTTCTTAAAAAAATACAAAATTCTCCCCTCAAATCACATTTATAAATAAGAATACATCCAATATTTATTAAGTTGATTGTGTCCAGATGTTAGTAGTATTTATTATCAGGTAGTTTTAAAAAATCAGGTAATTTTTTCTTCTTCATTTTTCTGTATCTTCCTAATTTTTTAGGATAAACATTACTTTTGCAATCAGCAAAAAACCACTTGTGCTTTACCAAGGATAGTTTTCTTGGCTTACACTTGTAGAATTTTTATGGCTTACATTTTCTTGTGGAACAAGGAAAGTAGTTTAAATCTCTCTCTCTCTCTGGTTGAAGGGTTTTCATTTTGCTATTAAATCTGAATCAAAAGAAAATTTCAAACTAAAGAATTTTCATGTTTAGTTTTACTCTCTAATTAATACAACTTTATATCATCAAAAATGTTGCAACCATACCATCTTGTATAAAGTCTAGTTTTATTTTGTGACTTTATATACAAGAACTCATTGTGTAAAAGAATGTGATTCATTTATCCTGTGCCAGTAGCCTGCTAATAATGAGTTCGCAAATGTTTTTCTTTTATAGGAGAAAGCTCAGGCTGTGGAACTCTGGCAGACTTCTTCTCAGGAGTTGTACAAGCTACAGAAACTTTACCAGGAACATATGACTGAGGCCCAGATTCATGTTCTTGAAAGTCAAAAGCAAAAGGTAATTTTGGATTTCATGATTTTCTTGTGTATCAATAAGTTGCATTCTGAAGAAATTCAGTTTTGGAGAAGAATGCCCAAGTCTGTAGTGTTATATTTATGTTGCCAATAAATAGATCTTTGATGGTTAGAAATCTTTTGAACACATACATGATCAAAATAGTGCCTAGTGTACATTGGGCTTTAAGATGTTATTAGCACTGAAAGCTGTATTTAGAGCTAAGAAGCGGCCATAAGGTTTTATGTATAAATGAATCTCTAAAATGTTTATATTCCTGATTTTTTTCCTGATTTAAAAAAAGACCAGAACTGTTCATTAGTTTATGGACAGTGAAGAAGGCTACTCAAATATGATGACAACACTATGTAAAACGAAGATGTTAACAACCTTAAATGTGGCCTTTTACTGAAATAGATATCAACTGCCTCTAACGTAAATTCATCAGAATAGGATTTTAAAAGAGGAAGGAATGTTAATGTTTATTAAGGATTTCTTTATGTCCAAAAGCATTTCTTTTAAAGTGGGCATCTAACTTTTATATCTCTATTAACATACACTCACTATCTCACAAAACCATCCATTCCATTGCAAAATCTACCTCCCTTATCTTTCCATTGATTCTTTTTCTGCTAAGTATATTGAAAACTTTATGACACAGAAAAGGTATCTTTTTTATGCTTTGGTGAACTTAGAATATTCCTAAGTTCAGATCAGCTTCCAGCATTTTATCCTTTGAACTTCAGTGTATGAAATAACCTTATTCCTGCGATGTGAATTTTTTTTGCTAGTCCCCCTTCTGGGACATCTTCATCATTTCCATCAGAACTTCTTTCTTCACTGATGTTGGGTTCATTTTCACTAAGTTATCCTTGCTGGTGTGTCTCTAGTCTCCTGAATAGTGGCAGTGTCCATGTTCTCACAGTCAGATATTTTCTTCTGTAACTTCATTTACATCATCATCCAGAGTTGTCACTTTCTGTTTCTTCGCAGCAGTTTTATTTTTATTGGCTTATTCCTTCTTTCAGTTATCAATTCTTGTAAAAATGTCACATGAGTGTATTATCCCTGGGAGAAAAGGAGACAGCACAGCTGCACACTCTGCTGTCTGTGCATGAACTGAATAACATGCTCTGGGACCAGAGACAGACTTCAAAAGTAATTACAGACACTGATCACGATGTTCTGTTATTACATAGTCACTTGTAGACTGAAGAGTTAGCAGTCTGTGTTTTACCTAATAATGATTAATATACTTGAGTAATATATAATCAGTGTTATATACAGTATTATACAGTTAATGTGTTGGTGACTGAAATTTGAATCATGTTATACAGAATTAGTGTAATTGAACTGTACCACAGTAAGTGAAAATCATGCATTTCAAGACTACAGGACATGGACTGCCTGTACTCTTTCAGTGCACGAGATGCTGTGTTGTCTCTTATTTCATTCTGTTTAGTTGTTGTGCTGAATTATAAAGTCCTTTAAAATGTGTTTAAAGAGGAACAATAATAAGCCAAATATCGACGCAACTAGTGGAATAAAGATTCTTCTGACCATATTCTCATATAGTAAAGAAAGCAATTTTTCCTTATCAAGACTATGTTATTAGTATAAATGTTGGTTAGGAAGGGGGTTGACTTTTCTCACCATAGTATTGGATCATACTTTCCTCAGAGAAATTCATAGTAATTTATGCATATATATGTGTGCGTGTGTGCCAAGTTGCTTCAGCTGTGTCTGACTCTTTTCGACTCTATGGACTGTAGCCTGCCAGGCTTCTCTGTCCATGGGATTCTCCAAGCAAGAATACTGGAGTAGGTTGCCCTGCCCTCCTTCAGGGGATCTTCCAGACCCAGGGATCGAACCCACATCTCTTGCCTCTCCTTCCTTGGCAGGCAGGTTCTTTGCCACTAGCACTACCTGGGAAGCCCCATACATATATGTAACACTGCAGTTTATGTTTTATATATAATATATAATACCTAGCATAATATCTAACAGTCTTCATTTGCAAATGATTTGTAGTTGCTGAGTCTTTGCTGTAACTCGGGATTTGAATGTGTCTGTGGGGTTCCCTGGTGGCTCAGTGGTAACGAATCCTGCTGCCAGTGCAGGAGACACAAGAGACCTTGGTTCGACCTGTGAGTGAGAAGATCCCCTGGGGAAGGAAATGGCAACCCACTCAAGTATTCTTGCCTGGGAAATACCGTGGACAGGGTAGCTTGTTGGGTTACAATCCATGGGGTCACAAAAGTCAGACACGACTTAGCATCTAAACAACAACAAACATTTAAAACTAGGAAGTAATTCCAATTCTGATTCCTTTCCTATGGATTTTTGAGAAGTTAGCTATCACTGTGTCTCTCTTCAACTCTTACAGAGTTTTCAAATTCCAGTTTATGACCATTTGTATTATTATCATTACAAATGGGTATTTTTACCTAAGGAAGTCATAATAATACTTATGTTGCTTTTCAGTTTACAAAATGATTTTTCCAAACATGCCCCGGTTTGAAAATAACTCACATGTAATCTGAGCTGTAATACTTTTACCTGTGAGTTCTAGAAATCATTTCTAATATAAGTATGTTTTTGAAGGCTGTTTCTTCATTTAGGTCTTTCAACTAAGCCATTAGGTTTTGTTTTCCACCTGAATAAGATCATTTTTATGGTACAACTTTGAAATTGGGGTTTTTTGGGGGGTTTTAGTTATTACTGTTGCTGTTTGCATAGACCTTACAGATAATACTTGGTCTTTATTTGAAGCTTTATCTATGAAACTTCAAATCTGTCATCTGACATATTAACAGCTCCTCCCAACTTTATGTCATCTGCACATATGATGTTTAATTTGGTCATAGTAGATAATCAAAAGGTTTAAAACTTGTGGGCCAGTCAAACCATGAGACTTATAAGAAGAGGGAAAGGCACAATAATAACTGTTTATGGTTTGTATTATAGGTTTTAAATAGGTTTGAATGTGGTTTTCAGTACTGGATAAGTTGTCTCTATCATACCTCTCTCCTGATGAATTGGTTTCTAGAAATAATTTTGTCATGTCCGCCTCTCAGTCATTACCCCATGGACAGCAGCACACCAGGCTTCCCTGTCCTTCACCATTTCCCCGTGCTTGCTGAAAGTCAAGCTGTCAGTGATGTCATCCAGCCATCTCAACCTCTGTCGTCTGCTTCTCCTCCTACCTTCAGTCTTTCCCATCATCAAGGTCTTTTCTAATGAGTTAGCTCTTTGCATCAGGTGGCCAAAGTATTGGAGCTTCAGCTTCAGCATCAGTCCTTCCAATGAATATTCAGAACTGATCTCCTTTAGGATGGACTGGTTGGACCTCCTTGCAGTCCACGGGACTCTCAGGAGTCTTCTTCAACACCACAGTTCAAAAGCATCGATTCTGTGGCGCTCAGCCTTCTTTGTGGTCCAGCTCTCACATCCATACATGACTACTGGAAAAACCATAGCTTTGACTAGACGGACCTTTGTTGGCAAAGTGATGTCTCTGCTTTTTAATATGATATCTAGGTTTGTCATAGGTTTTCTTCCAAGGAGAAAGCATCTTTTAATTTCGTGGCTGCAGTCACCATCTGCAGTGATTTTGGAGCGCCCCCAAATAAAGCCAGTCACTGTTTCCACTGTTTACCCATCTATTTGCCATGAAGTGATGGGACCAGATGCCATGATCTTCATGTTTTGAATGTTGAGTTTTCAGCCAGCTTTTTCATTCTTCTCTTTCACCTTCATAAAGAGGCTCTTTAGTTGCTCTTCACTTTCTACCATAATAGTATTATCTGCTTATTTGAGATTATTGATATTTCTCCCAGCAGTCTTGATTCCAGCTTGTTCTTCATCCATCCTGACATTTCGCATGATGTACTCTGCATATAAGTTAAATAAGCAGAGTACTCCTTTCCCAATTTTGAGACCCAGTCTGTTGTTCCATGTCCTGTTCTAACTGTTGCTTCTTGACCTGCATACAAGTTTTGCAGGAAGCAGGTAAGGTAGTCTGGTATTTCCATCTCTTTAAAGAATGTTCCACAGTTTGTTGTAATCCATACAGTCAAAGTGCTTAGTATAGTCAATGAAGCAGAAGTAGAGTTTTTCTGGAATCATCTTGTTTTTTCTATGATCCCATGGATGTTGCCAATTTGATATCTGGTTCCTCTGCCTTTTCTAAATCTAGCTTGAACATCTGGAAGGTCTC